AGATTGGATGCACAGCACACGCGCTGAGACTTTGTGATTCCTAGGACGGAGATAGGACCTAGATAGCGTTATTTCAAACTGCAACTGTTCACGCCAACCATTGCAGACCACAGGAGACCTTGTCACCGGCGTAACCGGTGTCCCGACTCAGTGCACCGAACTGCTGCGGTATGAATGCCGCGTCGCTGCTCTGACACCGGCGCGGCGCACCGGCCTCCTGGAAGATCCATGCTGAAATCAAAGCCTCGCAGGCAGATCCTAGCACACGTGCGAGCTGCCGACAATAATCCACATTGCGTGTGATTCGGTCGCCCCGTCGCAACTGTTGTGTGCAACCGCCATTTTTTTCAGCGAGTCCAATCCCATAAGTCCAGCCTATTCGCGACAGCTGTTGGTGAGCACTGCCGGGCAGGCGGTCGTGAACCTGGTGTTTATCTGCCACTGTCAGGAGACCGCAGCTTACGGACGCGGAAGGCCGATGCCGGCCGGGCCGCCGGTACTCGCTCGCGTGGGTGTACCGGTCCAACCACGCTGAGGCGGTGAGCGAAACGGCACCCCCACGCCGGCCAGCCCATTCTCCCCTCGGCGTCGCCGGCGTGGAGGCCAGCCAGGTAGGTGTCAGAACACGCGTCGCGGTGATTTGTTCGAGTCAGAGTAGTGTGCCAGAGCCGTGCGTCAGAGTCACGTCAGTCAGATCCTGGAGCCCAGCTCAGAGTCGCGCATCGTTCAGAATCACTCGCCTACAAAACGTTGCAGCCCGAGTCATGCGTCAGTCAAATCCCACCGTACATGTCCGCGTCATGCTTCATAGTCACGTGTCAGGACCGGGTTGGAGCGGCGGCGGCGGAGGGACCATCGGCAGGGTGCGGCGCGCGCGTCGGCTCCACCGACCGGCCGTCCACCGTTGCAGGGCGACCGGCCGGCGGCGGCGACGGGTGCTCCATGTGCCAGCGGGCCGGCGGGCGATCGCTGGCGAGCGGTGAAACCAAACACGCCGCCGGCAGCTGACCGGTATCGGCGCCAGTCAGGCGGCGTCCGGCGCCGGCAGCGCTCGACGCCGCCCGTTCCACGGATTCGCAGAGCCGCCGGCGCCCGCCGCCAATCGTCGAAAGAGACGCCGCGGCTGCTCCAGGCCTCAATTAGAGGCTGTTGTCACGAGAGGTGAGCGGCAGACAGCTCCAGCTTGCAGCACGGGCTGAGCCGGCCCGGCCGCTCTCCGTCCGACGGGTCAGGCCCCGCTCGACGCGATAAACCGGCGACGGTCGTCACCCTTAGCACACACGCGAGGGGCATTCTGGAGGCGGAGGTAGCATTCATCGAGGCTCGAGCATCCGCCGTCACAGGGTGTTGCCGGTGACCCCGCTGCTGCTGGACGGCGGGCAGCGGCGAGACCGAGCCCGTCACCTCCGACACCTGTTCTGCCCTCCCTCCACCGCTGCTGCCGGACGGCGGGCAGCGGCGAGACCGATCCCGTCACCTCCGACACCTGCTCGGTCCTCCCTCCACCGTCGGTCCCGCCCACCCAGCCGCGACCCAAGCCCTCCCAGAGCCACGCCGTGCGCTCAGCGTCCGACACGGAAGCGACAGCCTCGAGCCGTGAAGGGACTCCTGACCAGAACGGCGGCCCGTACATGGGCGGACGGGCCGCGGCAGGACGGCCGCACTCGGAGCCGCGCGGCGCCGGGAGGCGACGGAGGCCGCTCATGCGTGACACGGCCGGCCGCCAACGAATACCAACGAGCTGCAACCCGGACGGATATTTGGGCCAGCCGAGCGGCGACCGGGCGGACCTGCTCCGCTCTCCTACCGCCGCCGTCCCCGGCGGTGTACCGCCGCCGCCCCAGGCTGTTCTCCGCTCTCAGGCAGCGTACCGCCGCCGTCCGCGGCTGTTCTCCGCTCTCCGGCATGGTACCGCCGCCGCCCCAGGCAGTTCTCCGCTCTCAGGCAGCGTACCGCCGCCATCCCCGGCTGTTCTCCGCTCTCCGGCATGGTACCGCCGCCGCCCCAGGCCGTTCTCCGCTCTCCGATAGTGTACCGCCGCCGCCCCAGGCTGTTCTCCGCTCTCAGGCAACGTACCGCCGCGGCCCCAGGCAGTTCTCCGCTCTCCGGCAGTGCACCGCCGCCGTCCCCGGCAGTTCTCTGCTCTCCGGCAGTGTAGCACCGCCGCCCCAGGCTGTTCTCCGCTCTCAGGCAGCGTACCGCCGCCGTCCCCGGCAGTTCTCCGCTCTCAGGCAGTGTAGCCGCCGCCGCCCCAGGCTGTTCTCCGCTCTCAGGCAGTGTACCGCCGCCGCCCCAGGCAGTTCTCCGCTCTCAGGCAGTGTACCGCCGCCGTCCTCGGCTGTTCTCCGATCTCCGGCAGCGTACCGCTGCCGTTCCTCGGCTGTTCTCCGATCTCCGGCAGCGTACCGCCGCCGCCCCAGGCAGTTCTCTGCTCTCAGGCATGGTACCGCCGCCGTCCCGGACTGTCCTCCGCTCTCCGGTAGCGTACCGCCGCCGTCCCTGGTTGTTCTCTGCTCGAGTCGGCAACGGACACGAGGTTCGTCGTGGAGCAGCGCGAGATTCTAGGGACGCCGAACGCTGTAAAGGTAACCACCAGTCTCCACCTGGCGGTAATGGCCGGTAAAAGGCTGGTGGCTCGACCCGGCCGTGGCCGCACGGTCCGCACAACCGGAACGGCAGACGCCAGTTTTTATTTACAAATGTAGCTCTGATTGTAGGGTTGGCCCAGAGGTGCGTGATAAATGATGATTTAGTTTCGCCACACACACGCTATGCCGCACTATCCATGAAATAGAAGCCGAAATCTGTGCAGCACGATCCAAATGTAATGACGCCGAAACATCCCTCCCTCGCCTGGTGTGACAGAGCGTGTAATTGCACAATACACGGCCACACGCGACGAGACTTGACGTACGTCAGGAGGACTAAGCAAGGCAGAAGGGGGGAGGGGGGGGGGGCAGGGCGCGGCGAGCGGGGAGGAGCATTACCGTCGTCCCTTAAAACGCTGAAATGAAATCTATGACGGTGGATGGCAAGAGCCAAGGCCAAAGCGACGTCTAAACTCCTTCGCCGCAACTCCCAAGAGATCCCCGTTAAATCAACACCACTGCAACATATAAATCCCTTTCACTTCAGCATTCTTGACGTCGAAACATCATATTTTGTCCCTTCTTCCCATGTATTACCCTAGTCTCCAGGTAGTGATTTCCAATACCACCATCTTAGGCCAAATTGCTGGCGTAAGATAGCGTGTAAAACCATACAATGCCCTGCTGTAGATGTCAATGCACCCGTATGGTTTTCAAAGCTTTTTATGGCGCCACGTTATAAATATACCTTGTCGCAGTCTAGTGAGTGTCATTCCAGCTAAACACGCTTGATATTAATACCAAATTCAAGAGGTCATTCGTTGCCTCAACGAATGACTTCGTGTTGCGTGGTTTGGTTTTCACGCCTCATCGCTCAAAGGGGCTGAATCGGGCCGGTCCGTCTCGGTGCGTCGAGCCGGTCGTCTTCTCCGGCCGGCTCGTCACACCGCGAGGCCGCGCTCGACGCTCGGGTGACCCTCCGATCAGCCCCACCTGAGCGGGGCAAGGGGCGTCACGCCGCCGCCGTCACCGCGCCGCCGGACAACACCGGCGGCGCGGTGACCCGGGCCCGCGCCGGGGCTCGGCCGGACGCCGATGCGACCACCGTGGCGAGGCACGCGACCCGGCCGCCGAGCCGCCGGCCCAGCGGCCGAGACTGCAGCGGCGCCCACGAACGGAACGCGCCGCAAGGCACCGCCCAGACACGCCGGGGGACAGCCGCCGCCGGCCGCGCTGGCGCTCAGTGTAGGAGGCGGGCGTCGCCGACAATGCCCTGAAGAGTCCCACACGGTCATCAGGGGTAGTTCTTACTGGTGATCGTGCCTGACCTGCTAGTCAACGTTAGAGACGGACGAACCACGGGGCTCTGCACAGTTATACTGGCGCAGAGCCCCACTTCAGCAGCCTGTGTACTGCGGACGAGCCAGGAAGCTGAGCAAAGCATGAGGGCTCCATGACGTCGATCAGACTTGCTCTCTTCACAACACGCTCAGCATACAGGTGCAGCATGGTTTGATGACTGGGGAAATGCACGCGGGCGCACGTCGGGACCGATAGGACTGGCGCAACGCCTGTGGATTTCGGTTCCAATGGGCATCTTCGCGGCCCGACCTCGCGTCCGGCTCCGGTTGATGACCATCGGCCGCATCCCCTGACATCTCGCGCTCCGGTTGCTGAGCAGGCTGATCTGTCGGGCGTCACTTTCTATCTCGGCGGCGGCGGCGGCGGCGGTGGCGGCGGCGGCAGCGGCGGCAGCGGCGGCGGCGTCAGTCGGCCGCCGGCGCCGACAGAGCGCGTGCCGCGCGGCGGCGGAGCAGCCAGCGTCGCGCCCGTGGAGAGTGCTCCCGACGCGCCGGCCGGAGGGGGCGGCGCGGCGCCTAGGCCGCCCCCGACCCTCCTCTGATCCTCTGACCGCACCAGCCGCCGAAACAAACCACACCATCCGACAGAGAGCGAAGGTATGTGCCCGACCAGGCAGGACGTTTAGGTTCTGTCGGCGAAGAGCGCCTCCCAAGACGGTCTGGTACCACTGCCTCTAGCACGGAAGGATTTCAAAAAGTTAAATCGTGCCCATCAGTCCATGTCTGTAGTCTGTCTGTCATCAGTCCATGTCTCTCGTCATGTCTGTAGTCTGTCTGTCATCAGTCCATGTCTCTCGTCCATCCCTCTGCTAAACCACGCCAAGTCAGTCAGCGCGTGATTATTTTTTACCAAACGGTCACGTCCTTTAACTGCACCACAAGCAACGGCTACATTGCAACACTTTTGCAAAAGCGTGCTTGCAAGTCCAGCTAAGCCGCACCTGTAGATTGTTGGGCCACACGCTCGTAAGATCATATTAGCCGGATCCCGTTCTAAAGCCAGCAGTGTTGTCCGCTTCCGAGAATGCTCCTAAGCAACCAAACAACTGTCATGTTTCGCAACACCGCCAGGTGAGTCCATGGAACGGACCATGAGGGTGCTGACGTCGGGTGTGTGACAACCCGCAGACTGGTGCGGTGTCCCCTGTCTCACGCACTCAAGCAGCTGCCGGATCCTTCCACATGGAACGTCCTTAGCCCTCAGGCACCTGTCGATGCACGCCATTCAGAGAATATTTCCAGCACAGGGAAAACTATCGGCAGGTCTCTCATAGCACATCTCCAGCACAGGCAACAGTAGACTCATTCGTCAGAGGGCATGAGGCATGACGACAAACTGTTGGCTTATGCCTTACATAATGGTCCCAGTCTTCCGATCTCACACATTCTACATAGTCGGTTCTACTACATTCTCATTGTGACATTCAGAAGGTCAAATACGAAGCGGGGTGTTCGGTGAACGTCTTTGTTCTACATCGCGGGCCCAATGAAAGACGTTAACACCACAGCAACCTTGCAAACTCGAGTCATGCAAGGAGGCTCTTGTACAAAGGGGCACAAAGAGCCTCCAGGAAACCCGGGGGCACGCCCGCCTCTGAGGGCCGGTGCCAGGGACGGCCGAGTACATCAGGGCAACTCGTCGGGGCCATACCCCCCCCCCCCCCTCCCGCCGGAGGACGGCTGTGCCGATCAGGGCGGCTCGTCGTGGCTCCGCTGCACCCCCGCCCCCCCCCCCCCGCCGAAAGACGGCCGCGTCCATCAGGGTAGCTCGTCGTGGCTCCACCGTCTCCCCCGTCGAAGGACGGCTGCGTCCATCGGGGGTAGCTCGTCAGTGCCCGCCATCCCCCCCCCCCCCCTCCGCCGGAGGACGGCGCGCAGACGAGTATCGCGAGACGGTCTGGGTGGCAGGGGGCTTATCCGCCGGGGTTTCTCACGGCGATCACGGTCCCGGCCATGAGTCATGTCATGGTCATGATCACGCAAGGCCCCGGAGGCCTAGGGAGGCCAGGGAGGAAAGGTCAGACGTCTCCACACAGGGCTTGACCCGATCCTGCGAGTCTTCGACCTCTGGCGTCCGGGGCCAGGCCATCACTCACGTGCCCAGGGGCGCCGGCGATCCGCCGCCCGACGCCAGCGGGCCACCGCACCGGCAGCAGCCTGGGGGACAGAGCGACCCCGGGCGGCGGCGGGGCGTCGGCGGCAGCCAGGGGACAGAGCGACTCCGGACGGTGGCGGCGCCCGACGCCGGCCGGCAGCAGCCTGAAGGACAGAGCAGACCCGGGCGGTGGCGGGGCGTCGGCAGCAGCCTGGAGGACAGAGGGACCCCGGGCGGCGGCGGGGCGTCGGCGGCAGCCAGGGGACAGAGCGACTCCGGACGGTGGCGGCGCCCGACGCCGGCCGGCAGCAGCCTGAAGGACAGAGCAGACCCGGGCGGTGGCGGGGCGTCGGCAGCAGCCTGAAGGACAGAGCAGCCCCGGGCGGCGGCGGGGCGTCGGCAGCAGCCTGAAGGACAGAGCAGCCCCGGGCGGTGGCGGGGCGTCGGCAGCAGCCTGAAGGACAGAGCGACTCCGGACGGTGGCGGGGCGTCGGCAGCAGCCTGGAGGACAGAGCAGCCCCGGGCGGTGGCGGGGCGTCGGCAGCAGCCCGGAGGACAGAGAGATCCCGGGCGGTGACGGCGCCCGACTCCGGCGGACGGCTCTCGACGACCCGGTCTGCCTGCGGCGCCGCGACCTTGGAGTCAGCGGGGCGGGCAGGGAGCCGGCCGGCAGCCGGGGCAGACCGGGGGACGGGACCACCGCGGCCGGACGTGCTACCGCGCCCCCCGCGCGTCCCGCGCACGTGCCGCCGCTGCCGTCGTCGGCAGAGGACCGCCGTTCCGGACCGCACAGGTGGGCGCCCAACTATCGCGACGCTGTCGAACTAGGTGGCCGCATATCACGTCGCAGGTCCTCGAATCATGAGATCCTTGCTTTATCCTTTGAGTTCCGCCCTGTTTATCGATAGCAGGCCCTCTCTGAAACTGTTCATTTATTCATATCATATCGTGCACAGCTGATTCAGTCTTAAACTCCAAGAACTACAATAAAAAGGTCCCAAAGATCACTATATTTCGGCAAACATGCCCTGTTCAGGTGAATTTTGAAATTTATATGACGTCATTTATTCATTTGGTAGTGAGCTTAAAAGTATATATTAACATATACATTTCCAAAGTCCTCAGAAAAGGGTTTGTCTGCTGAAACAGTGAAGTCTGCGACCCATTCATGGAGTTTCTAAGCGTTTGAGACCGCAATTAACAATGTACGGTACAATTCCGTCCTGTTGACCAGCGATTGCAATCGACTTGTTTGCCCCTGGTGCGCCACTGGACGAACCTCGGCGTCCCGGCAGCGCTCTGGCTCGCCTGGCTCACCAGAGAACAATGGCGTTGAGGTGGTACTGGGAAGTTGATTGCCGTTTGGGGCTTTACTCAGCTGCTGAGACCGTGTCGCGTCGCCTCCTTTTCACCCTGGCAGGAAGGGCGCGGACACCGCGGGTAATCGAACCGCGTACTTCTGGTTTCCCAGATGTAATTTACCCCTCTCTCCCCAGTGTACTTATAACGTCACGCAAACGGCTCCTGCACACGAACTGTCGTCACGTCACTTACGACCGTGCGCAAATAGCAAACTAAGATGGGCTTCGAGCCACAGCCTGTGTTATGAGCATGAATGAATGGACAGATGAGCAGAATAATCCAAACACGGTAACTTGGCCTCACGAAAGTGGCTGGTGTCGAGATCAACATGCTATTAGTGGGTCTAGAAGCCGAGGCCACACTAAGCGAGGTTCAGTAGTTTGTTATCCCTACAGCCTTTCCTTTTGGTACCACTTCAGCACAGCCTTTATGAAGCCTTCCAGCACATAAAATGACGAGCTCAGTAAAGGTGGACAGGGCAGCGTCACATTTCTGTATAAAGCACGCGACAATACCGAGCCAAGTACTCCGAAACAATGCCTCGAATTACGGCATGGCTCCGCATCACTGCATACCTCCACTTGACGCACGCAGCGTGACATTTCGTGCGCCTCCTCTGTGAGGAGCATCTCGCGTCTCGGCCCAGATGCCGGCGGCATCTCCTGCGGCACCGACCTCGGCCGCAGATAAGCGCCCACGTTACGAAAGAGTCGATGGCGCGGGGACCGCACCAGCGGCCAGTCCCGCGCCCGGAGTCCGAACCCACCTGCTGACGATTTCGCCGCAGCGGCGTGACGTCGTGGTAACGGGATTATCGCCTGCGATCAGCTGACGTGGCGAGCAGTCACAATCACTCACACGAGCCCGAAGGTACGGCGGCAGGGCTGGCGGCGCGTAGCCGGCGGAGCGGCAAGAAGAGCCCTCGCTCGTTGGTCGGCCACAGGGCAGCGGCCCGAGTCATGCCCGCAATGCCGTTCGTTATGCTGATGCGCGGCGTTTTTACACTGGGGGCGATTCCAGTGTCCACTTAGAACAAAGAGGAAAGCGGCTAGTCACGGCGGGAGTTGATCGCCGCGCATAGCGTCCGGTCGGGCGCGACCGCTTTCCCACATTCATTACGGACGTCGCAGGGTGGCTGCAGGATTGCTCCCGCGGCGGCCGCGGCGCCGACCAGAGAGAGCGCTCAACACGGCCGCGTCCCGGGTCCGGCGATGTCTGGCGCGACCGCTCCCCAAACGTCAGGGCCATGAAGCTGCCAGGGGCCCGCAGCGCCCGGCGGGCTATCGTGAGGCGGGCGACAGCAGACGAGCTGGTCCGCTGTCTCGTGGTCATTGGTTAGGCCAGTGTCTGCCCTGACCAGACGGTCAGCCAGCTCCGTGTCGCCAATGGCTACCGAGCCCGTTCGATCCCCCCGCCACACACACTCCTCCGCAGTGTCAATCGCCCTTGGCTGGATTCGGGGTTCAGACTGCACAAATCCACCGGGCCGGACTATTAATCCGTCCCACAGAACAGCTCTATTCCGACTCCTAACAGCCTGACGGCGCCTCCGCTGCTCCGGTCCGGCGGTGCGCCAGCCGGGCGGCGGCGGCGCGCGCGCTCCCACGCTGGCCGGAAGTGAGCCCCCGGCAAGGGCGCCGCCCCGCCCCGCCGCAGACGACTCCCCCCCAGCGGGTGGCTTCGGCCGGCCGGCCGGGCCAGAACGGCGGAGAGGCGGACATAATGCGGCCACCTCAGCACAGGTGGACCGCGCAATCGGGTGAGACTCGTGCCGCCGTCACCGGCCGCCCGGCCCGGCGGCATCTCCAGGGCCGGCGCCACGTGCGTCCGGGCGGCACGTGAAAGCGCGGCGCCGCGCGTGCCGTGCTTCGCCCGGGTCCAGAGAGCGTGTCAGAGCGGCGGCCCGACACGCCGGTCCGGCGGTGTGGTGCCGCTGGTGCCGACACTGCGGTGGCAGCTCGCCTAAGTCGCACTGCTCGGCTGGTGTCCAGCACCAAGACGGCCGGCCACCCGCGGCATCAGCCGTGGATGCGGCAGTGAGCGTGCGGTGGAGAATAGGGAAAACAAGCCCGGCAATGATGGCGAGCACAAGTTGGAGATTACAGGCGTCGTAGTTCGCAGTAGAGCGTACAAATCCCAATCTGCGGCATCTCGCCGCGACGCTGACTACGCGCGGAGCTCCTTGGTCATTTCAGCACTTATCTCGAAACACTTGGCGCCTACCTCGAGCCCACTTTACGGAGCGTTTTGACACGACACGTTGAGTGTCAGCCGTGCGCGTAAGGCGACGACGGTCCACATACATTGAGTGCCACCGACAAATGCGGCGAGAGCCTCGCTCACATGACACGCTCCACTGCTGAGGACGCTGCTCCTATCAGTATCTATATGATGTGGGCCTTGGCCGCCTTAGCGGGCCCAGTGCGTGGCAGTCGCATTCAATATCTGCACCGATTGGCGCGGAACATCATCTGCTGGGGGAACACTACCGTACCGACAGGCGCTTGCTTCAACAAAACCGGGTTTCAGCCGGGAGCTGGTTCTATGTACGGACCTTAAGCACGTCACTGACATCACGTATTTTGCCTATCAGTTGCCATATGATGGATTAATT